TCTATAGACTGTCGGTAGAATCAAGTCTCAGTTCAATGTCTCGTGCTTCTATTCAAAATGGACTCCTCTGCGTTCAGCAGGCCCGATCATTAGCGACACAGCCTCTCCACTCTCTCTGGCCGCGGTGTGGGTCCGTGTCGAACACTGAGCTGATCTCCACTCGACCTCCGAACGGATCCATCTTCGTCAGACGAGTTTCCGCGGCGCTAACTAGTCTGAATTGCCGCTGCGCCTGTCCACTTTACTTCAGCCCGGCTGGCCGCTGACGAGTTGGACCCGCTGTCTCCAACTCCTCGCGATCGATGCAGCACTTTGAATCATCAGTCACCGCGTGGCGCCACAAAGGCTCATATCTCGGTATAATTTTATCCAGTACTGCGCTCTACTTTGCAGCCCTCTTTCGCGTTAGGCGGCACGGGCGGACATCGATAGCAGCGCCTCTATCGGTCACTAGGGAAAGCTGGGCTGTAGGCGACGAAATACCGGCTGAGTTGTCACACGTTGAATAGGTTTATAGCCATCCGTCTTGTGAAAAAGTTGAACTTTTGCCTTTAATATTTCTACAGGCAATTTTAGAAGTGTCTTCACATGGATTACAAAACCGTTTAGATTATTGTATTCACTTCAAGCCTTCCCTATTGTTCTTGATGATGCGGGAACTATTTCTAATTAGTGTTTCTAGCTTAGTAAAAGAACATACTGTGCAAACGATGAAAAAAAGCATAAATGGAAGATTTTAAATGCAATTTTCTCTAACAATTAATGGTAAATTCTCTACATATCAAGAAAAAGGTGCATGCTGACTGATAATTTAAAGTTCTTGGGGCCAGTTGTTTTCTTCTTTTCTTACGTCGCCCCAATGGCCGCGAATACACTTGTGATAACGCCTATCGGGTGACTTTGTTTTTGGCTCACGTGAATGGCTGGATATTATTGCTACATGCAGGCCACGTCTCGGTGCCTGAGCACCAATGGCGCTTTTTCATTCATCTCCGTCCCTGCCATTGCCAATTACCCTTTGTACCGATGCGTGGGCTCCATCATCTTTCTTCTGCTGCCCCCGCCGCCTGCCGCCCCCGCCTGCCGCCCTCTCGTCTGCTCCTCCCTCCCCCTTCCCCACCTCTCACCCCACACCGACCCCCACACCCTAGCCACCATCCTCCCCTCCCCCAACGGCGCCCCGCCGTGACCGTTCTACCGCGATTACATTCTACAAATTCCACCGCATACCTCTGCCCAAAGTCATCGTCCACCGTCAACCTTTTCACGCTGTTTTCCACCACCAAATCTGCCCATGCGATCAGAGACAAACACTAGGATGACCCTCTCACCCGTCCCGTCTTTTCTCTCCCCTGTGATCCCTGCGGGGCTGGCGCGGCCGGAGGGTCGGCGGGCCGGCCCAGGAGATGACCCACGGCTTCGGTCACGCTCCGCCAGCCCGGCGACCGATGATGACTGGCGTGGCTTCCGCAGCGCAGCTCGCCGCGACAGCTCTCGTCAGCGTGGGCCCGCCAATGTGCGCAAAAAACCGGCCCGCACATCGGGTACGGCAGCGGAAAATGACTGCTGTCGGCTCCGACGATGGAGTAGATGGTTGTCTTCTGAGAAAGGACAGGGAAAGGTCCCGTGTGGGAGCCAGTGGATGAGTGCGCCGGACACGGTGTCCGGTAGAGAGGTGTGGTTAAAGTTGGAGATGAGATGGATTCGTCTTCACTTGCCCGCTTTGAAGGTTAGCGGTTGTTTTCTTGAGAACACAATTTGTTGGTTGTTGTTCTCTCATCGATACCCTTGTTATCATTACGAGCGAGCGAGCGCAGCGAGCGAAGCGAGTCTTTTCAATATAACGGAAAAATCTCAGTATGAGCGGCCCGGCCCGACCCGGCCCGGCCTGTAACGCTTTTGAGAGGCTTATATCTCAGCAACCGCTGGACCGATTGGCCTGCGGTCTTTTTTGCTGGGTAGCCCCATCCCTTCTACCCCGTAATAGACTACTTTTGATACATCTCAGTCATCGTCGTGGCACGTGCCCGGTGCCACGTGAAAAGTCAAGGGTGTTCAAGCTGTTTTGCAAAAGTAGTGATTTTGTGAGGCTCATATCTCAGCAGCCGCTTGGGCGATTGACGCGGTAATTTTTATAGGGTAGCTGCATCCTTTCTACCAAAAATAGGATACTCTCGATGCATGTGGGTCACCCCCAGTGCACGTGCAAAATACAACAATAAGAGGTGTCAAATTTGTTCTCATTTTACAGGGTGGGGCAGAAAGATTTACCTGTTTGTTTTCAGTCCATTGCTTAAAAAGTTATGAACGGATTTTGATAAAACTTTGCATGCAGCCTCCCAACTGACTCATGTATCAACTTTAAGATCGTTTTTACATTTTGTAATAGTTGTTGGTGAGCTATGGCGAAGATGACTAAGTGAGCCCAAATTGCAGCGCTGAAGTAGACTGGCCACAGGTCCCGAAGCGTTGCCAAACAGCTCGGTGTTGCCGTAAAAACTGTTTGCAGTATAATTAAATGACTTCAAAAGACAGCGTTAGTGTCGTCGAAGTACATGCCAGGCAGAACAAAGAATTTCCGCTTCAAAAAGCTAGTTGATATCGTGCGCAAGAAGGTGTTTCAATTCCTAGGCGAAGCATGCGCAAACTGCCAAGGGAACTCGTTGTTTAGCCCAGAACCGCCAAGAGAATCATAAACGACGGCTTAGGCTTTATGTTATACAGGATGCAACGTCGACACCTAATTTCGGCGGCATCCAGGGAAAATCGGCTACACAGGATCCAAAAGACATTGGAGGAGATCAGGAGCGCCGGTAACAAGGCATTCTGCTGGTCCAATGACAACATGTTCATGCCTGAGCCCCAGAGACACTCCCAAAGCTTCAACATTTTGGCAGATGGTCCATCCAGCATTGATCCTGCTATTCGCACCATTTTTTGTTGCTTGAAGCCTGCTGGTGTCATGGTTTGGGCTACCGTCGCATCCGACGGCTCAAAAGGAGCCTTGGTCTTCATCAAGGAGGCTGTGAAAGTGAATTCAGAGGTTCAAGTCCATCTGCTGGAGGAACATGCTTTGTCTTGGGTCACTCAGTCGTTCTGAGACGGATGCGTCTTCGTCCAGGACGGTGCGCCGCCGCAAACGGCCAACATCGCTCAACCGTGGTGGAAGACCCACATGCCTGGGTTCTGGGACAAAGACATTCGGCCATCATCAAGACCAGACCTGAACCCGATGGACTTCGCAATCTGGGCCATCTTAGAGAGGAGGGTGTGTGCAGTGCCACACAGCAGAATCGCCGCCCTGAAGCTGGCCCTCGAGACGGCACCGTCGAATCTTGGCGGGGACGCAGTGCGGCGCTCGTGCCCCTCCGCAGAGGGACGTTTCGAAGCAGTGGTGAAGGACAAAGGTGACCATATTGATTCATTATGCCGTCGCTGAGATGTGTACATGTTACTGCATATATGTGCCAGAAATCAATTTGATATATTTGTTCGGGGCCGAAATATTTAGGAAAATCAAGAGGTAAATCTTTCTGCCCCACCCTGTAATAACTCGGTAATTACTGGGGCGATTTCGCTGAAACTTGGCATACAGGTAGGCATCCACCAGGCAATGCATTCCCATGTGTTGCGGTTAAGGTGCTAGTGCACGTGCGCACGTGCAGGGGGCGCTTCCAGATCTCGAGAACGGCTGGGCCGATTGCGCTCAAATTTGGTACACGGTTGGAGACCGGTTAGTAGGGTGCCGTGCAAAAGTCAGTTTGGACCCCGTTTGCACGTGCGCACGTGCAGAATGCCGCTTCCAGATCTCAGGAACGGCTGGGCCGATTGCGTTCAAATTTGGTACACCGCTAGCGACCGGATAGAAGGGTGCTTTGCGCAAGCCCGTTGGAAGTACCCTCTCGCCCTTCCGCACGTGCAGGGCTCACTATCTCGCTCGCTCGTTCTTCGCCCAAAAGGTGTTTTACTGGTATTAATGTCTTGAATTTATTTAGAACTTTCATAAGGCAATCGAAACGATATCGTCGATATCATCAATATTTTGAATGCTTTGAAGGGCGAGGCATATTTCAAACTTTGAATGTTTTGAATCGTTATCGTGATAAGACGATGATATGAAATTCATTCAGGATTTAACCGACAATCCTGTGTTAAATAATCCACTGTACTGCACTTCGGTAAACTGATGTTAGCAGATCATCGCAGTACGTGTCATGTCAAACCAATCTAGTATCTCTTTCAGCACAAAGTCTTTAAACCACTGCTGATGCAACCGCCCCTGACTAGAAGCTCAATAGCAAACATCAATCGCTGAGTTTCACAATTTCGCGCAACATTTCCTACATGACCATTTTCAATCAGCATCGCCCAGGCCGCAGGTTTGGCCACGGATCGCTGGGGCGAAGCTGGAGGGCGATGTGCGCCGTCCCTGATCAAATCATCGCATGATTAACAGCGGCGGGCTGCAGCCAGCGAGTTACGCCGAGATTTCATGAAACCCTGTTGCGCTGACTTAAACGGGCCGGGTCGCCAATGGGGTGAAAATGATGCGCTCGTATTTCAGCGCCGACCGACGAGCACCACAAATGGCTGCGAAACGGTCGCCGAAGGGGCGCGTGACTCTCGTAACGAACGGAGCGAGACGATGGTACACGAGTGTTTGTCAGAACTCACGGCCGTCCGAGAGGACACACACGGCGGGTCTCGGCCTATTGCTTCGTGCAACTCGGAGCAGCGTGACGGGTTGACCGCATCCAGCCGGATGTTGGGGATCGGAGCTGGATTGGAGACTCTAACCAGACAGAAAATGGTTTAATCTCGCCAAAGTATACGAGCATCTTTCAAACATCACCATCGCGGGTAATTGGCTGTGCTTTGTAACCGCGAATGATGGTTATGAAGAAAGCCGTTCTAAGAGTTTGTAGGCTGGATCACGCTGGCTAATAATTGGACGAGGGTGGGACGCTCAGTGCTGAGACAATGCCGCTGCTTGTTTGCAGAGAGGGAGAGGAGGGCGACTGGTCGGAGGAGCCCATCATCACTCCGGACAACATGACGTCGTTCGTCATCTCGGACCTGCAGCCGTACACGGCCTACAGCTTCAGACTGGAGGCCGTCAACGGCATCGGCAGCTCCGAGAGCGGCATCGCCTCCTTCCCCATCATCACACTCCGAGAAGGTGAGAGCATCACACACTCATCACCAGAGACTGAACATTGTGGCATCGCCTCCTTCCCCATCATCACACTCAGAGAAGGTGAGGGTATCGGGAAATTTGACAACAATTATTGACTTTATATAGCACTTTCTAGACATTTATCGTTAGGCGGAAAAACTGCTTTTTAGATAAAGCTGTCTGCTGCTTTGAGCTTTATCGCCAGTCGCCATTTTTGAATTGTTCGGATCAGTTGCTACCAATGTCCTAAACGGCCTGTGTATAACAGTTACAAACGGAATGGCATGACATGCTGCATCATAAATGTCACGATGTTCACCACACATTTTGCAATGCATATCACATTGCTTAACTTCAACACTAAATGGTTTGTGTGATTCATGCTACAGTATCACATCACCTAAAATTAACTTTATTGTCGAGATAGGCAGAACTTGCCCTTTCGTCACGCATAAAGCTCATTCATGGTCGTTTACTCGTTTCTTCCTTAGTCGACTGCCGCTACATTAAAACATTTTACGGTCTCAAGTCAGTAGAAACTAAGGCGGACCTTATGGTCTGCGCCTTTGTGAAGAACGGATCTCGTTCATCAGTGCAGTTGAAAGTGACATTTGGCTGTAAACTACAAACGATTTTGAAAAATTGCGTCGTTAGCCGTGTTCCTGGTGTCAGCGAGTTTTATTACCTTCAGAGCAGTGAGCAGTGTCAGTTCGCGCACTGACCGGATATCATAACTGACGAAATCAATGGCAATGACGGGAGGCAGCTGAATGGCCGCATACGATGCATGCGAAGAGATTGGATTCAATGCGTTGCTATATTGAAAAAGCTTTTTGTTCACTTTACATAATCCATTTGATGTCTGATTCTGTACTTAATGCTGAAGTTAAGTCAATAATGTTGTAGACTTCTGTTAGTAGATAAAAGTCTTCTCGCTCATATGTGTATGCATCATTGTAAATCGCGCATGGACCTCCCTGTCTTGTCCCTACGAGTGCTACCATACAGGGGCTTTCAGCGGTTTCCGGGAAACCTCGACCGGCTCGCGTCACGCTCCATTTGGCAAAGTCAAGAAGCTGTGAGCTTCAAACCGCAATGGCGCGCTCTGAAACAATGGCCCGTGTTTTATGTGGCACTTTTCATCGCGAGCCGAACCCGTCCAAATTTATAGCGCTGCCGTTCGACTTACCAAGACATATCGGTGTTTGGCTACTAAACCCTAAATAAATCCCACTAAGAATGACGAATTGTCCTTTTTTATTTTTCCTTGCAGGAAAGTGCTGTGTGTCAGCGGATTAAAGTATGGCGGGGTTCCACCACGGCATCGTCACTTGCCCCAGGAAAAGTCGAGGGTGTGTCATGCAGCTGTTTTCTTATAAAAAATGTCAACGACTGGCTGCTCCAGTGCCCATCATAACAAGGTGTTCCAGTTTAACAACTACACGGTGGTGTGTGTCTTTCCTACATTTACGGTGTAGCATGCCTATGGCCGTGTGACCTTTGATAAACATAAAAAGTACCTACCACTCCTACCTCCCTTACCAAAGTAGCATAGCATCTGGGGGAAAATGAAGGAGTTTCTAATCAAGATGACATCTTTGAAAACTGGGAGAGTTTCTAACCAATGCGGCAGTACCCCAAAACAAACAGAATGTGGTATGCAAACAAACTGAAAGCGTCACAGCCTCAAACTTGATGTGTTGCACGTTCAAAAGAGGGCAAGGCACTGCGCTTATCCTCAGCCTCCAGCCTCCAAGCCTTCGTCTTGTATAAAACCATAATCATTTGTTCACCCCAATGTCGCAGCATATCAATCACACACTAAAAGAAGTCGTCTCTTTCAAAACCTCGGTCGGACTAAGTGCACCTCCATCCATCTTCCCGTTCTGACTATGTTGGGCCATGCAGCCGGTCCAGTAATAAATCATCGACTCTTTTCGGGACCCGCCGGAAGACGGTCTGTCAGATTTTGCCGAGCTGCTGCTGTTGTCAAGTCACTCTGATGACTGCGGCTGAATAATGGAACGATCGCTAAACTTCGCCGCTTGATGGAGCTCTGCGGCCAGAGACACAGATTCGGGGCTGTCTATCATATAGAAAGCCGCGGAACAGCCCGCTCTTTTTAGAGAGCCATGGCAGCGGGTGGAGGATGGGTGTAGACTTTGTAAGCCGGGGATGACGAACAGTCATTGAGGACTATTCTTGGAATGACGTGATAAGATAAATTATATTAGACACGTCTTTTGATAGATATATGCAAAGCCACGAGAAGGTGAAACACGACGACTATAGTCATTAAAACTCCAAAGGCGCACTGATGCCGATGTAGAAACGAATCTGCAAAACGAAGCTACCAACGTTTAACATCATCGCTGAAGTCTCCATCTTCATTGTCGGATGGTGTGTAATGTGCATTCTTCCGACCGACGTAGCTGACGTACCTGACGGACTGACTGTTCGCCTTCTTTTCTCAGCACCCGGCGGCAAGCCCGTGATTCTGGCAGCGCACAACACCAGTGCCACTGCCGTCCGGGTCCGCTGGAGACCGCTACCCCAACGCGAGCTCCGCGGAGAGTTCCAGGCCTACAAGATCACCTACAAGGAGAGAAACAACACCAACTCGCCCATCAAGGAGCTCAAGATCACCGAGGAAACCGTACAGGTAATTAAATCCTTTTCCTTGTTCCTTCAGTCATCTTCGGTCTGATGCCAACGCATCGGTATATGAAGTCGTTTTTTGGTCATGCCATGTATAGCGGGATGCCAACAATATATAAATTATCTGTGAACAGTTCAACAACCGTTCCAAATGCTGCACCAAAATATATTTAAGTAAATCATCGAAACACTTCCCGTAAACGTGGACACCTCGCAGTAATCGTCGCAGTATAAGCTCCCTCCGCTCTGTGCACGAGGGAGCGAGCACTCGGTAATCAAAACAAATGCACCCGGTCCTTGTTTTCATAAATCACTTGAAGCGCGGGTCATAAAATTGCCTAATTAAGCAGGGTTTCACCATTAGATCGCCCCATTGGGTGGCTAATGATGCCCCTGCATTGCAGCAGTTTGTGTAAATAGTCTCCATTTAGTCTGAGCGTATTATCAAGCATGCTGAGGATTGTCTTCAACATTCCCTTCTACCACATTTCTGAATGAGACTTTAACCCGCGCACCGACACGGGGGGGGGGGGGGCGGATATCCGCCGCCCCTGAGGTTTTTCGCGAATAGCGGGAAAACCGGCGAAATTTGGTATGACTATTCCCTTATCAATTTTACACATGGTGTGCAAGTTTGAACCTCCTACCTTTCAAGGTCAGGTCACCAGGTCACTTTGAATGACCCAACCTCAAGTCACTTTTTTGCAACTTTGTCACCGTGCCAGAGCTACAGTAGATGTCGGAGGCCTTTGAAAGTCGCAGGATGCTATTAGGTCAGTAGTAGCTACAATTTGTATATCTCGGAATTTTGATATCGGTGACCTAAGGTCAGGTCAATTTCGCGACCTCCCCATTATAAGTCAATGGGGGAAAAATCAACTCCCTGTTTTTACCACTAAAACGGGTCGGAATGGCCCCATATACCATACATGACTTCATATACGATCAACCTTCACTACCTTGAGGTCTGTTTTGCTGTTGGGCAGCTGTGAGGTCATGTGACGTCATCAAAGGTCACCAAAGGTTTTTGGCCAATAACTCCGTACAGGAACAAGATACAGACGCGTGGATGGTCCCATTGTGTTCAGCTCGTCAAGACGCATCGAATGATATACATGATGACTTCGAGGTCACGTGACCTGAGGTCAACCTTTGACCTTGACCTTTCGAGGTCAACATATATATCATTCGATGCGGATTGACGAGAGGATCACGATGATGCCCTTAGTTTGTTCCTATCTTTACTAATTCGAAAGTTATTCGAGAAAAACTCTCTCCATATTTAGCGCCGCCATTTTGACTTTTTCGACCCCTGTGACGTCATCTTTGACCTGACCTGAGAATGACCTTAGTAAAAATTGTAGATCTTGACCGTGCGTATCCGATGCCGTTTACCGCTTGTCGCTATCTTGCTTCGTTCTCGAGATCTCAGGGGGGGGCGGTCATCCGCCCCCCCCCCCCGTCGGTACTAAGTTGGCGCAGACCCCCGTCGGTGCGCGGGTTAAGCAAAAGACGAACCGCACAGCTGTATGTTTATGTCGTGCAAGTTATCTCACTTTAAACACATGTCACATGTCGTACAATCAATTCTTACTTGCGGCTGCATGATTTCGATTTATGATTAGGTATAGGTATTTGGGATGACACCGCCGTCCTCTTCGGAAGGCGTTTTTTATCGAGCACTTCCACCTGGGTCTTCCTTTTACATATTCTGTTTCTTTTTTTCCTGTATGCCTTCTTCGCACTCACCATGTGCGCTTCTCACACACTTTGATCTCCTCTCTCTCTCTCTCTCTCTCTCTCTCTCTCTCTCTCTCTCTCTCTCTCTCTCTCTCTCTCTCTTTCTCTCTATCTCTCACTCTCTCTCTCTCTCTCTCTCTCTCTCTCTCTCTCTCTCTCTCTCTCTCTCTCTCTCTCTCTCTCTCTCTCTCTCTCTCTCTCTCTCCATCTCTCCCTCCCGCTCACACCCGTCTCTGTGCTCGGCAGACTCACACCATCACCGGTCTGCGTCCGTACACGCAATACATCATCTCCATACAGGTGGAGAACCCGGCCGGACTGGGACCCAGCTCTACGGTGGTGGTGACCACGGACGAGGGAGGTGAGAGCCCGCCTGTCTGTCTGTTTGTTTATCTGTCTGTCTTTCTTTCTTTCTTTCTTGCTTTCTTTCTTTCTTTCTTTCTTTCTTTCTTTCTGCTTTCTTGCTGTCTATCTGTCTCCGTCTCCCTCTGTCTTCCCTTTTTCTCGCTCACTCTTTCTGTCTCCCTCTACCTCATTTTCCTTTTCGTTCTTTTCTCTCTCCCTCTTCTCATTTCTCCCACTTTCCTCTGCTTCTCTCTCTCTCTCTCTCTCTCTCTCTCTCTCTCTCTCTCTCTCTCTCTCTCTCTCTCTCTCTCTCTCTCTCTCTCTCTCTCTCTCTCTCTCTCTCTCTCTCTCTCTCTCTCTCTCTCTCTCTTCTTTCTTCTCACTGACACCACTGTCAGCTCGTCAGACCACTGTGCCTCCACTGTGTCTTTTCGAGAAACCACCGCGAAACGGGCAGCACGCTTCCCTCACCTTGTAATTTGATGATAAATGAGCGTGCATATTTCCTGTTCTCTCGGAAGTTGATGAGAATTAAATGAGCAGACTACGTGATTTAGTTTGCGTGCCTTGCGAGATTAGTGTTGATGCATGGGTTACATGAACAGGGTGAGACATGGGCTAAAAACTCGTCACATATCATGCTTCTTTATAGTCACCATATCTGATATCGTAATTAATGAGTCGGTCGGCTCAAAGCATGGCATTTATCTTTTTTTTTTTCAGTTCCGGAGGCGCCGCGAAACGTCAGCATCCTGAACGTGACGGATACGACGGTGACCATCTCCTGGCTGCCTCCGGTCAACCCCAACGGCCTCATCGAGGGCTACCGCATCTACTTCACCACCGGCGACTTCACCAACGCCACCTGGATCAAACTGCCCGTCGAGCGCATGCAGCACACTCTCACTGATCTGGGTAAGAAGTTTGGAACGAAAGCTGTCGCCGACGCGTAGCGTGCGTTACACACGCATCCAATATCCAAATTTAGATGAGCTGTTTCATGTTTGGCAGCGGGACGTATGCCTTCCCGTGTCTTTTATTTCGGGATACATTTTTAGAGAAGTGTTTTCCTCAGGCCAACTTTAATCGGACTCTAGCGATACCGGTCGAGATTGCATTTATCGGTAAGGCCGAAATGTGAAATTGATTGAGCTGCCGGCCTGAAGAAAACATTGTTTGGCGTTCTCCCACTTTCCGTCGAAATTCACCATGCACAGGCTTCGCTGTTGTGTAGCTTTTTATCATACCAGTTAAATGGCGCAAACTTACATTTTTTGCAGCACGTCTTTTCGAATTTCACTCACCATCATTTCCCAGGCATTTGACTTTACCCTCGGATATTTTTATGACATAATTCGTCTTTATTATCTCCATCAGCATACTATAACAAGATATTTTATGTCGCGTTTCCTGGTCCCTATAGATAGTTCCTTCTGAAGATGACGGTGACCTATGTGAGACAGCCTCAGAAGCCGGAGGCCCACATTTCTCGCGATGGACTTGGGATCTGAAAGCGACACTGATCTACTGACAGAACAAAAACCTTCCGTTGTTGGCTCGTCGAGGTCAAGATTGAGGGGACGCAATTCCACAGCGTAACTATAAAAACGTGGGTCATACGAGGAATGGACAGTGATTCTTTGTCAGTTTGTGTCTGATGACAGTGTTGACAGATATCAATGACAGCAATTGTAGAATGCCGTTTATCATTTCTCCGAATGTGAACATGTGTGCATCGCGTGCCAACGCCGGACGCGTGCACATAATGTCAAAAAAAAAGAATATACTAAAGCTCCTGGTTAAAATAAGGGCTAGAATGGCACCGGTCCTTCTTGGAAAATCGTTACATTGTGTCGCAACCCATTACGATTGCGAATTACAATACAAGAGTACGCTTAACCACAGAGACATCGTTTAACATCGCTTCAAAAACATGCGTTCAAAGACTGCAACATCGTTGATTGGAATCAAAATTATCGACGCTCGAGTAAGCATTTGCCGGGTGAATACTAATCCAAACATTTCGGTCGTACGCACATGACATTGATTGTCTGGTCTCTGATCAAACCCAAACGGATTTAACAAGGTAACTTTGCTGACATGCTCATTTGAATAATTCGTCATTGTATATTCGTGCTCCCCATAACATGTAAATGTGGCGCCTGCCAATTACGTGCCTCGTTATTACCATTCGAGTAGTTGTTACATTTCCCTCTGTAACGACTTATTAGGGAAGTGGCTAATTGCGCTTTTACTGCTCGCAACGTACTCCGCACAGCCAAAGTTGTAAGGAGTTATGAATAATAGAATTTGTGACTTTTATATCTATATTACTATTTGAGGAGGGTGCGTCTGTCCGTTACCGAGGTCCCGACTTGGTGGTGCTTTGCGTGGACTACAGGCCAGACCGTTGCACCTAGCCCGGTGAAATTTGCACAACTTATAGATCAAGGATGCGCGACGTGCCTTTGAGGGGTCTTTTCTCGATCGGATTGATAGGGAGCGCGTGGCGCGTGCTCAAAAAGTGCAAATTCGCGTCATAGACTTTACATGTATAAATCGGCGTGCGAAATCGGGCGAAAACGGCTAATTTTGGCCGACACGGGTCCAGTCCCCGTGCAATATCTCGGTAACCGTGGGCCGGATCGGCACGGGGAAAACAGCATCATGTAGATAATTGAACAGGTTATCGAATGATATGCAGTACAGGGGATGGCACGTGCCACGTGCACCCGTGAGGGTACTTTGATTGAAAAATTGCGGTTTTTGACGGATTTTGGAATTGATTTTATTTTTAGGTGACCATTAAACGGAGCGAGTTGGAACAGCGCCTGTTGGCAAGAGAAATGTACCGCCTCTCATGGGAAAATTGTGAAAAGCTGATTGATCCAAATCAAGGTGGTACAAATCACGGGAGACAATGGTGTTTGTCTATTTTGTGCCACTTTGTTAATCACACGGGTTTTGCTCAATGATCTGATATTTCTGGCAATAAAAAATGGCACCGATGGAAAGAGCATTCAATTCTGTCCAAGGTTCAGTCTTTATTTTTGCATGATGAGCAACAGTATTCTTAAAAATGTAAATGTTCCAAACCATTACATTGTCATTTTTAGCGAAATTCATCGATGGCCCTCAAAAGACTTCACGCCAGTTTTCGAATCATTCTTAAGTAGAACGCATGATAATACGACACGGGCACCTCGATGCGATGTATCTTTTTGTTTTCTTACAAAATGCTTGGCCGTCAAAAAGCAATCGAACGAAATGGATACCTACCAACCAAATCGACACAGACCAACCCAATACCCACGGGTCAAAAATCCCCCCTTCGCGTTGCGGAGCACGCGGGTAACCCTAGTAAGACCCCTATATTATCTGAAGGAGCACGATGTCGATGCCTGAATGCCCGAAAAGTATTTACCTATTAATGCGTACCTACTCGTACTTCCAGCCATCTACTATAGTTCATGCCACGTACATATGCCGAAATAAAATGATAGCAATAGACTGCTTTCAAAGCGATGTTTCTGATCTAAAGCAGACATTAAGTCCCTTATTATTGTTACCAAATGCTGCAGCTTTCGTAGTCAGGAATCATGGAAAATTATCGCCTATCATCCATTTTCCTTCATTATTCTTGTGTTGCAAAGATCCGTGACATCTACCATTTCCATCATTTTCAACGCGTATCTTCACGTGCCTAGCGCTGCGTTTTCTATCGATCAAAGCCCGTGCGAGGCCCGTCAAACCCCTATCCAGCGCCGTTTCAGCTCCCTCCTCCAACTGACGACTCCCCGGCTTCTCCCTCTTCTCCACAGCTCCGTTCTCCAACTACTCCATATCGGTGAAGGCGTTCACGCGCAGTGTGGAGGGCCGCGAGTCGGTCTCTGTCGCCGTCACCACGGACGTCTCGCCACCGTCGCCGCCGCGACTCAGCTCGGTCACATGTCAGGCGGACGCAGGCCTGCTGCTGCGCTGGCGACGACCGCGGGTCTTCAGCGGCGGCATCGACTACTACGTGGTCAGCTACAGCAGGACGGACGGCGAGCTGCAGGGGCCCGTCACCGACCTGCAGGTCACCACCGATACTGCCGACGAGGAGAGCAGGGTCAGTGGTTGGGAGGGAAGTGGTAAGGGGCGGGCTGGAGCGGGTACTGAACGTCGGTGTCGTGACTGGTTTCGTTTGTTGCTGGTCCTTACTGGTTATAATGCGTTTCCTTTTGTCTGTATTATCAATAATATTTTCGAATAGTTCTTGCTAGAGTTGACTTTACCCGGTGCGGTAGGTCGCTGCCAATTTGTGCCTTGAAACCTGAGAGTACGCGATATTTATGGGTTTCTGATTTCTCTCGCTGACTGACTGGTCGGTCTTCCTCCCTCAGTTTCTGCTGCCGAATCTGACCGCCGAGGCTGTGTACGAGGTGCGGCTGCGAGCGGCCACACGCTCTCTCCACCGGCCCTCTGCTCTGCTCCTCTCTCCCCTCTCGGCTCCTCTGACGGGCCGGCCACGGCGCCACTGCCGGCGCCGCGGCGACGGTGGCGCCACCTCTGACGTGTGGCGCCGTTTGGGGCGCGGCCAGGAGCTGGACCCGGGCGTCATCGCCGGCATCGTGTGCGCCAGCTGCGCCTTCCTGCTGGCGCTGCTGGCACTCGCCATCTGGAGGTGGGTGCGATGAAACTACTGGTTGTTCTTTAGACTGGTGGGGCCATTAGATTACTTCGAGCTGGCTTCTAGGCAACTTTCATCGGTTGATCGCCAAGTGTTGTTACCCACGATTAGCTGAAGAGTGAAAAGGCTACTGTCCAATGGCCAATGACAATCTCACCGTTCCGTGATTCCATCCTCAGGATACAGAAATCCTTTTCCTCCGCACCGCAACCCCCTCCGGGCTGGACAGGCAACTTTATCTCATGCGGGCTGCTCCCTTGGAGCGGTACCGCTGCTCCCGAGGGAGCGCACCCCGTAGCAGGGTGCAGTGAGTACCTTGGGGCTGGGTGGCCTGTCCTCTGGACGGGCTCAGCCCCGGTGACTCACTAGGGTGCCTGCCCAGACCAATGTCTCCCACTATATCCTATCATCCTCCCGGCTCTGAAATGGTCTTATTGGACCGAAAGGGCATAACCCCCAAAAATGGCAATCTACACAATTGGCTCGTATAACAAGTAACACTACTGTCTCTATAAAGTTGCGTAGATTGCCTCCAACTAGCTATGAAACGTCTGAATTCTCAATGGGTCTTGTTTACTTTTGATAGCCCCAGCATTAATTAACCTCTGCCCGTTCCACAGACGCTACTTCCAGTCTTCCTACTATTACTTGGATGACCCGGTGACCCCCCGGGTTGCTCTGACCTCCGAGCCGGCGTGGCAGCGGGACGGACCGAACGGCACGCAGGGTCCCATCCCTGCCGACGCCTTCCCTGTGCACGTGGCCACGCTGCACGCCGATGCCGACATCGGTGAGACAGTGTTCTTCAGTCGACCTGTTATTATCGTAAATCGTACGGATACAACATGCTGTTTAGTATCATTGTCAACTCGCTCGCTTTGTTATTGCTCGGTTATCGTCACGTCGCTAGCTCGGTTATTGCTTGATTATTTTCAATTCGCCCGAATTGGCTATCGCTTCTATCTTTGGGTATGACTAAGATTTGTAACAGTTTAAGTATGTAACCTATAAACAACCAAAATAATCACGGACAATGATGTAACCGTTATCAGTTGTAACCACTCATATAACTCTAACTTCGGCTCGCAGGGTTCTGCAAGGAGTATGACGAGGTGCTGGAGCATACCATGAAGCTGGGGCTGTCCTCGGAGGTCTCACAGACTGAGGAGAACAAACTGAAGAACAGATACCAGAACATCGACGCATGTAAGTCACTGTCGTGTGCATTCAATGATGCCGTAGTTATGCCTCATCGATGACCAAATGTATGTGCATTTGCACCATTTATTGAGCCATATATTTTTCATTTATGCTAATGTATTGACCCTTTATTGCTTTCTTAGTTCTTACGGAATTGTCAATGGATCAAGAATACAAATTGGCTGAGCGTGATTCGAAGGTGACCATCTGGCATCTACTAGTGATGTCAATTACGGAAAATCGGAATACCGATACCAAACCAATTACCAACCTAAACTACGGGAATTGAAACCAAACCAACTTGGGAAACTGAGGGAAATGCCAACTTTTTACCGATTTCTTAGCCTCTTATACATTAGTGAGGGCTTATGATACCAACAAAATATCAAACACTTTACGATTGAAATACCAAATACCAAGTTGGTATCGGTTTGGTATCGGTATACCAAAAAGCTGGTATCCGATTGACATCTATACCATCTACCCACCTCCAAGGCACCCAGCCTGACTCCAGCCCGCCCTTCCCACAGACGATCACACTCTGGTGCCTCTGCGACCCCTGCCGGGCCAGCGGCGAGGCGACTACATCAACGCCAACTACATAGATGGATACCTGGTCCGCAACCAGTACATCGGCGCCCAGGGGCCCCTGACAGGCACCTTCGGCGCCTTCTGGCGACTCATCTGGGAGCAGCGCGTCCAGATCGTCGTCATGATCACCAACCTCGTCGAGAGGAACAGGGTGAGATACGGAACTGTGTGTCGAGCTCCTGCGGCAGCGAACTTTTCACTTTATATCCTTACATATGTATGTAACTAATCGGTATTCCAACCTGTTATGCTGTAAGCGTCCTGCGACTGATCTACTGACAGAATAAAGAGGTAATATTGGTGCGGAACGTCGGTCGTATTAAGCAGTAAGTATTTACAGCAAAATAAATCAGTAAGCATATAATTTGCTTCCTATTTAGTAGCCAAAAATAGGGAACTTTGCTGATTTTACGCAACGTATGCAAAGTGCGTGAGTACATTTTGCTGTTCGTTCAAAAGCTGGTGCTCCTCTTATTTCAGAAAAAGTGCGACATGTACTGGCCTAAGGAGGGTACAGAGGTGTACGGACCGATTCAGGTGGAGCTTCTGGATCAGCGGGAACTGGCTACATACACCATACGAAAGATGCTCATCAAGCACATCAAGGTAAGATTCGAGCTCTCACACGTGCAGAAGCTAGATGTAACCTGTTTGGCATGCATAGCTGCACGTGTTTACAGATTACAGACACAGAGGCATGGTAACCTCCCATTAAACCTGGAGCTGTGGGATGTGGTAGTATTGCAAAACCAGTAAGTAGTAACTTGTCACATCGCTACATTCTATCTTCGATAACGTTGTTGCCTACTCCACAGCACAAGAAGAAGAAGGGTGTGTCTGGCGAGCGTATCATCTACCAGTACCACTACACCAGCTGGCCGGACCACGGGGTGCCCGACCATCCACTGCCCATCCTCAGCTTCGTGAGGAAGTCGGCGGCGGCCAATGGGGCCGGCGCGGGACCCATCCTCGTCCACTGCAGGTGAGATAACATAGAAGCAGCCTTTTCAATGCCGATCCATACGGCTGCCTTCAGAAATACGCTTTTAATTCCATGAATCAAATGAGAATATTGAAGCACTTGTAATAATTGTTGTCCCGTTCCAAACGCCTCCTTTCCCGGGGAGGGCACACTTACCTCAATATTGACGGCTGACCGCCCCCGCCCACTCTTCACAGCGCCGGTGTGGGCCGAACCGGCACTTACATCGTGCTGGACGCCATGATGAACATGTTGAAGCAGCGAGGCACCATCAACGTATTCGGCTTCCTGAAGCACATCCGCACACAGCGCAACTTCCTGGTGCAGACGGAGGACCAGTACATCTTCACACACGACGCACTGCTGGAGGCCCTGGAGGCAGGCGAGACGGACGTGCGAGCCACGCGGCTTACGGAGTACCTACAACAGCTGCGGTGCTACGAGCCGGGACAGTTCCCGCGCTACACGCTGGACCGGCAGTACCAGGTGAGTTGATATCATGGGACAGTCTGATACACAGACTTTGGTTCGTGATGAAACTTCATAGGTTCGTTATAAAATGCCTGAACTCTTCGTAAAGTGAGCTCAATAATCTGATATAGCAAGTGCATAGCAAGGAGTTTGTGATTAGGTTTGTTTAATTTGTTGGGGCTATGCTTTTAATGTGATAAGGCATATCTTCTCGAATATGACGCTGCTCGATGCCACAATACGGTAAGAGCGAGAAGGACTACTGGTCCAAGTGCACATCCCTGATATACCCTGTTGTTTTCTCCCCAGCTGGTGACCTCGTACCGTCCGACGGAGGTGGACCTGGCCCCGGCGCTGACCCCGTGTAACCAGGCGAGGAACCGGTGTGCCCAGTTTGTTCCCGTGGACCGGTGGAGGGTGCACCTGTCACCGAGACCCGGGATCGAGGGCAGCGACTACATCAACGCCACGCCACTCATCGGTAAGCGATTGGACAAGAAATAAGGAGCAGCGGAAAGTATAGAGCAACGTTTAAGCCGACAGTCGTAGAATAATGTCACGAATAGTTCGAGTAGATATTAGTAGTTTTAATTGCCAGGTATGTGCATTCACTTGAAATAAAACTGCCTTTATGGTATCCGTCCGCCACACACGTGCTCCTCTGTTTCGACAGGCTACGAGAAGCTGTCCGAGTTTATAATCACTCAGCACCCGCTCCCGCACACGGTGGACGACTTCTGGAGGATGGTCTGGGAGCATAACGTGCAGACCGTGGTTGTTCTCTCTCCCATCGATGCCCAGGTGGGTAGGAACGGGCGCTGGGAGGGACTCCGAGGGGCTTATCGTCAAAGATGAGCTGACCATCTTGCGAGTAGCGAGCTCTTTGACGTCTGTCTCATCTGAATACATGTGACGGTCTCGCAAGTTTTACCAAGAGCGCTAAGTAGCAAGAGCCATCATCTTTCGCTAAAAGCATGGCTCTAAAGTGTCTCCATCTTTATCAGCAAAGCATTGGCAGGGCAGTCACGTCTACAACTCTCCTTCCGCAGCATTTCCCCCGCTTCTGGCCATCTCCCGACGACGACCTGGACGGAGATAGCTTCCGGGTCCGCTTCGTCGACGAGCCGGCTCCGTCGGCATCGGCGTTCGCTACCGTCGACCTGGTGCTTCAGTCGTGTCAGGACGACTACCAGGTGTCGGTGCGGGTAATCTGCTGCCCCGAGTGGCCCCACACGGCCGCCGCAGGGTCGCCCCATCACCTGATCGATGGCGTCCAGCAGGCAACGCTCAAGTACCAGAACGGACCCATCGTCGTGGTCGACAGGTTGGTAGTTGGAGGGCTGGGTAAATGGCTAGAGTGTTGACTGCATATTCAATATTTGTCGTGTGTAGCTGTAGGTATACTTGTAACGTATTTTGTTAAGTGATTACAGATATTGTTGAGAAATACTTGACTTTCGAACATTGTGCACCTGGAAGTTATCGTCGACTCATGTAAGACGCATTTCCTTCTGACACTCCCTCGTCTTCGAGCCCAGTCGGTGTACGATAGATACTAGCCTTTTCATCGCGTTCTCTCTTCTCGATAGATTTGGCGGCACCGAAGCGGCGACGTTCTGCTGCTTGACGACGTTGTCGAAGCAGCTGATGAACGAGAACTCGATCGACGTCTACCTGTACGCCAAGCTGTACCACATGCGAAGGCCGGGCATCTGGAGAACTCAGGTAACATTTCATAACCGACTTTGGTAGAGAAATGGTGTTCCGCTCTCGTTACGCGAAGGTAGACGTTTTGGGCTGATGTGGAAGCGACCGTATCTATCGATGATCTGTTGCAGCACTCAAAATGCTTCTTCTGCACTTTTCTTTCCGAATTTAGCAGCGTTTTACTACGGCTCTCTCCCATTTCAGGACGACTTCACGATGCTGTACCACGCCATGGAGGGCCTGGTGCGTCCGACGCTGCCGCAGTCCCCCAGCAGTCAGTCTGAGGCGGAGTCCCTGCTGCGGCCGCGCAGTCTGCACAGCGGCACGATGCGTGTGCCCCCCGACGGCCGCGAGTGCTACGTGCCTGCCGAGTGCGTCTGACAGGACCCGAACGCAGCGGGCCGCACCAAGGGAGGCCAGAGACGCGGACGAGAGTGGAGGAAACGGAGAGACGTTAGACTGGCAGAGTGCACGTGCCAATGTGCCCCCGACTGCCCTGAGAGGGTCACACACTGCCCGGAGGTGTGCTCCGCCTGCCCTGCGGAATGTCCTCCTCGAGTCACAGAGACCAGGGTGGCCAGGGGAGACGCTGTGTTTACTAATTGTCCCGAGTGTGTTCGATTAGGCGTGTGATGTTCTTTGGTGCTTTGATTTTGTGTAAGGGGGACCTTATTGTGTGGGTCACCCATCTATGTACATGTGGGATCAAGACCCGAGGGTCTTCTGGAAATGTACTCATCTTCGTACAGCTTTGCTGAGAGACCAAGCCTATCTCGTCTATGGTACTTGTGTCGAAAAACTCTCCGGGGTTATCCTTCAGTGAGTAGATAGATTTCTTAGAGACAAGCGTTCACTGCGTTTCCGAACGAGAGCTTAGTTTGATGGCGTTCGTGTTTACGGAAGGTCGCGTATGATCTCCAGGTTTCCGTATTCGAATGGATTTGTGTTATCGTTTGTGTACTACGCTGGGGTGTGAGGAATCTTTGTTTATATATTGGGGTGTCCCTCTTGCGGACTGAAGGCTGCCACTCTTCCTTTTTATTTTATTTCTTTCATGTTATCCCTTCTATGATTATTTTTTTAGGAGAAATGCCTGGGTGTCGACTTTATTTTTGGATCCGGCTGTCGTGCTGTCTCGTCGATTTTTCCTCTGACGTCATGGGACTCGTCGTGACGGTTGTCGTCAATGACAATCACCAAAGAGGAGCGATTGAAGCAGCTGCTGAGCAAATGTATGTGCGTTTTTACGAACGTCCTGTGCGTTTTCTATCCACCGTCTCTGCATTTCCTCTTGTTCTCATGTTGAGCATTGTCAGACGATCATTTGGTACGGGTGCGTTCCGCGGCTGACGGTGTCGGTGCGCCGATTTGCGCACAATTGCGCCGATTTCGTGCGCGAGCCGCTGTCGTTTTGTTGTTTGAGGTCC